ACCCTTACTGTTTCTCACCTGGTCTGCTGTACTCCACTGATAACTGATATCCTAATCTCTGCTCTGGTCAGTCGTCCTCTTGCCTTTGACGCTACTCCCAGTTATTTCTCCAGCTCCCGTGTCTCAGCATTTCAGTCCCTGGTTGCCCATATCTCTAACTCCTGCTCACCAGAGCGCGCCCCGATGCCTTGCATGGCACACACGCATCTTGCGATCTGGTCTCTGTTGGTGTGTGTGGCCCAAACTTTGCTGCCCTCACCCTTGTAGTTAAGGCTCCTGCAATAAGAACACTTTTATTTCCCTTAGAAGGTCATGCTGTGGATTGCCTCTGTGCTTTTAAATCCTTTCCTTCTATTTTCCCGAAATGTATTTTATTCTCACTTTACCCCTCACTTAACCCACCGGCCAAATAAAGCTGTAGGTCTGTCATTTCTACCCAGTGAACCTCCCACCTTCTCTAACAGAGTTCCTAATTTTTTTCTCCTTAGCTTTTCCTCCCTTTACATAGGTTTCTATTCTCTTACCTCATTGTATCTTATTTGCTGTCTCTCTCAGGGAGCATGGCTGTTGGAGGGCAGGGTCTTAGGTTCATTTATCTTTGTGACTCTTAACACATAGCAAAATGCTTGACACATTGTTAACTTAATGCCAATTACATAGCATGTAATCGGACTAAGGATGGCTTTAAGTGTGGCTTTTATAGTCAAAATTAAGAGTCCAGATACTTAAGTTCATTAGAGTCTTTGCTTTAAAACTGTGGTTTGATCGCTTGGTGGAATTTAGCACTGATTGTGTTAGGCAAAAGTTAGAAAAAAATTAAATGCCTGCCAACTTGGAATATTAAATATCAAGTAATTAAAAGTTTTTCTGAAGCCAGTCTTCAGTTATATTGTACTTTAAAAATACCTTGCCATTCCAGCTTTAGACAAAATTACAAATCTTCAAAAGTTGCTCGTTTCAACTTCAAATATTTTCCCGTAGTTATAATATTACATATATTGTGTTTCCGTATTTCCATGGTGCAATCAGGGGCCAGAAGCCACAGAGTAATTGAACAGGGAAAATTTAACACAAACAATGTGGGATTGACAACATGAGTAAGGAACATATACGGGGACACCACATCCAAGGAAGGAAGGAATCTGGAAGAGGGCCCCAGTCCCCCGTCCCCAAGGCTGGAATCAGACTTCACTGGAGAAGACGTGGTTGTGTCCTCCTGGATGACAGAGAAGTTCACAGAAGTGAACTTCGTGGAAATCAGCCTTCTGGGTGCTGGAGGGAAATGGTCTGCAGGGAGGTGCTGCCCTGCAGGACTCACTGGGCATCTGCCAATGGGGGTGGGACAGTGTGAACCACCATCTGGAGAGAAGCTGCCCATGGGTGGGTGCCATGCGCCTCCAAATAAGAAGAAAACCAGTTAGAAGAATCCTTCTGCCCTGGCCAGGTAGCTCAGTTGGTTGGAGGGCCATCCCGATACTCCCAGGTTGCGATTTGATCCCTGGTCAGGGCACGTTCAAGAATCAGCCAATGGCCAAAACCAGTTCGGATCAGTGGATAGAGCGTTGGTCTGCAGACTAAAAGGTCCCAGGTTTGATTCCAATTAAGGGCATGTATCTTGATTGCAGGCACATCCCCAATAGGGGGTGTGCAAAGGGCAGCTGATCGATGATTCTCTGTTATCGATGTTTCTAACTCTCTCTCTTCCTGTCTGTGAAAAATCAATAAAATATATTTTAAAAAAAGAATCAACCATTGAATGCATAAATAAGTAGAATAACAATTCATGGTTTCTCTCTCCCTCTTTCTATCTTTCCCCCATTCTTTCCCTCTTCCTCTCTCTCTAAAATCAATACAGGAAAAAAATATGGTCTCTTCAGCACGTTTAAAATTATCCTGGCTGGCATACCGTATTTTCTGGCGTATAAGACGACCCCCTAATTTTACAGTTAAAACCTAGGTTTAGCCCTATATTCGCTGTATAAGACTACCCCCCACTTCTGAGGCAACACCAGTTCTTTTTTTAATAGACCGCCTCTCTGACTCTGGCCTGAAGTTACACTGTGTCCTAGTAAAAAGCCTGCTCAGATTGGCCAGAGTCAGAGAGGCGGTCTATTAAAAAAAGAACTGGTGTTGCCTCAGAAGTGGGGGGTAGTCTTATACAGCGAATATAGGGCTAAACCTAGGTTTTAACTGTAAAATTAGGGGGTCGTCTTATACGCCAGAAAATACGGTAAGCAGGGCAGTGGGAAGATAGTGCTGAGAAGCTATGGATTGACAACTGGCACAGTTCACCTTTATTGACTACCTGAGCTTTCCTATGTTCCTAATTAAGATCTAGCTATCATAGGAATTAGGAAAGATATACTATTATACCATTTATCTTGAATTCTGTTGCCCAATGACAGTAGTGCAATTGGATAAAGATGATAAAGAAGGAGATAGATAACCTATATCTTCTGAAGTAGTAAATGGCCTTCTTTGACAAAATATATTGTTAAATATCTTAATTTCATGTACCTTGATTTAGATCAGTGGTTCCTAACCCTTTTTTTTTTTTTTACCATGCCCCACCTAAGCATCTTTAAAACCTTGATGCCCCCCCCCCATGACATATAATTATTATTAAAAAGTGAACTACTATTCACATGGAGGAAGCCTAAAAGGCCATTCACTTGGTCTAAACAAGCTTCCAAAGAACATGGCATCTATGAAAGAGAAAACTAAAAAAATGAAAAGACATTTTAAGAACTGAGGAAGAAATTACTAAGAAATTGTTAAAAAAAAAAAAAAAAGTTAGTATGAAGTGATATAAAAAATAGCAAAGTTTCAAAACATAATAGAAAATTGAAATGCATAAGTATGTCACAACATATATTTATATACAGTATATGAGACCCCTAGAACTGTAAGAAATGTGAAAAATTTACTGTTACTAACTCATTATTGAATTGGCCCCCTTAAAAATCAAATTGCCCCCCTGTGGGGCATGTGCATCAATTTGGGAACCACTAATCTAGATATATTAAAAGTACTATTCTTAGATCTGTCACTTAAGAATTAATTAATTTTGGCTTGGAAAATTAGAAAGTAAGACAGAATATTTACTATAGTAAGCAAATGAGCCACAGCTGGGAAAGAGATGAAGCATTGCATGTATGTTATACATGTTTTTCTGGTTCAGTATATTAGTAAACCAAAATATTTGAGAATCAGGAATACTCTGTCTGTTGAGCAAAGATAGGAGAGAAGAACATTTTGGGTGAAAGAGGAAATATAAAGTGGGGAAAGATTTGGGGTCAGGTAGCTAACCGTGGGAGTCAGTGGGATAAGCGAGGCCACTTTGTATGGAACACATGTGCTTCTTGCCCACCTGCAGGCAGACATGTTGGTAGCATGGTCCAGGTAACAAGGTCACATCTTGGGCTTGGGAGTGCCTCCATATTATGAGTCAGTTCTTAGCGTAAAAATTGACATGAATTTTTGTTCCGTAAGTTTAATTACAGATACAACTTTTAGAGTCTGCATTAAACAGTCCTGTAGACTCTTCTGGGATAATTTGTTGTCATTACAGAAAGAAAAAAAGCAGGAATAAAGCATTTATATATGATCCCTAGAGGATGCTTAGAAATATTGATGACAGAATAGATGTTTAATAAGTCATGACTGATACTTATTTATATTAGGGTCTTTAACTTAGAAAAAGGGAGAGATTGCCTGATGTCTCTTATATAATATAACTTTATTACTTACTAGAGGCCTGGTGCATGAAATTCATGCACCAGTAGGGTCCTTAGGCCTAGCTGATGATATAAGCTGATAGGGACATTCTGGCTGCCAGCCAGAGCCATCCCTCCTGCTGCTGGCTGGGGCCTCCCTTCCATGGCTACAGGCTGCTGGATAGGGCCTCCCTTTGTTCCACACTGCCCCCTGGTGGTCAGTGTATGTCATAGTTGAGCAATCATATTCCCAGTCTTCCTGTCGAACTCCCAAGGGGACACTTTGCATATTAAGTTATATATATATACACACACACACACACACACACACACATATATATATACACATACATACACATACATATATATATATATACTGGAAGCCCAATGCAGGAAGATTCATGCAAGAATGGGCCTTCCTCTCCCTGGCTGCTAGCACTGCCTTTCTGCTCCAGCCCCGAGCTGCCTTCCCATCTTCCCACACTGCATTTAGCAGCTGGAGTGGTACAGAACACCTGTGTCGTTGCCATGGAGGTGATGCAAGCATTCCACTCCACCCCTAGCCACTGGTCACCTGTGTATGCAAATTAGCCCACCATATTTGTTGGGTTAATTTACATACTCCTGATTGGCTGGTGGGAGTTGCAAGGGTACACTCAATTTGCATATTTCTATTTCATTAATGTAGATTACTCATCTCGTCCCTCCTATTTCACGAGCATCTCTTTTCTGTCATCCATTCTTCCTGGTCACAAGAAATGTGTGACAAATTGGAGGACTGGTGAAATCAGGGAGGGGGTCGGGTGTGCCCTCATGCCCAAATGTGAAGCATTCGTGATTGAGTTATACATGATGCATATTGACTTGGATCCTGGACTTACCACACTATTGGCCTTCAGATCCTCGCTCAAACAATAGGAGACCTTATCCCTGCTAAAGAACTAGCCAGAAGTCCCAAGTACAGTCATATCTCCAATTACTGTCTTAATCAACTCTTAAAGGATTCAATTTGCAGAGAGGCCTCTGATTTACAGGTGGGAGATAGCTTGTAGATCAAGATCATCTTACATTTTCAACACTGGTTGCTGTCTCTCCTAAATATTTCAACATTTTAGAGGGAAGATTTGGGGCCTTCATTATTTCATTCATTACCATATATTAAAAAAAACATTTGAATCGCTGTGGAATGTTTGGTGTTAAGACTCGCTAGATTGCTACAAGCAAGTGTATTGATGTTTCTGCTTAGTTATAAACGGGGTTTTGTTCTTTATTTTTATCTTCCAGGTTTTTCTGAAGAGTGATCGAGTGGCCAGAATGGTTCAGAGTGGAGGATGTTCTGCTAATGACTTCAGAGAGGTGTTTAAGAAGAACATCGAGAAACGTGTGCGGAGTTTGCCAGAAATTGATGGCTTAAGCAAAGAGACAGTACTGAGCTCGTGGATAGCCAAATATGATGCCATTTACAGGGGTGAAGAGGACTTGTGCAAACAGCCAAATAGGATGACCCTCAGTGCTGTGTCTGAACTTATTCTGAGCAAAGAACAGCTCTATGAGATGTTTCAGCAGATTCTGGGTATTAAGAAACTGGAGCACCAACTCCTTTATAATGCATGTCAGGTAAGTGGCCCATGGTATTTCCCATGACCTGGCTGGACTCAGAGTGAACCTCGTGTTTACAAGCTTAGGGAGATGTCCTTTACTTTCTATATAATCACTTTGGCTGAAAAGTTGAGTGAAATATAATTTTAATAAATAGTGAGATTTATTAAAATTGTAAAGAAGGTTTTGAAAGAATTATTTGATAGAGGATAAAGAACATCAGTACATTTTATCTAGCAAATAAATGTTCTCATGTGCCCTAGCATTAGATTTGTGCCTGTTTGGTATATAAGGGGCATGTCCAAATAATAAAATAGAAATAACCTGTTATCTGAAGAAGGTTGGCAGTTTAATAAAGTTAATCCTCAGTGCAAATTGATTTTACATAAAGATTCATAAAATTTTATGGAAGTAACATAAAGATTTTTTCTTTAACCTAGCCAGATAGAAATTAATTGACGAATCCTAAACTGCATAATTTAAAGTGATTACAGTGAATAATGTATTTTCTTTTCTGTTCTCATTCAAATCATACATATGTAAAAGCTCAATAAAATATCATGTTTTTTCCAAGTCTTTCATCTTTAGACCCTATGATTTGTCTAATAATGTATTCCTTCTCTATTTGCATTTTGTTTGTTTATTTTAAAGGTATAAATTATTTAACTATGCCCTGATATACAATTAAATGGTCAAAGTTCTGGTATTTAAAAGTTAACCAGCATTGGCCAGTTTGGCTCAGTGGATAGAGCATCCTCCTGCAGACTGAAAGTTCCGGGTTTGATTCTAGTGAAGGGCACATGCCTGGGTTGTGGGCTTGATCCCCAGTAGGGGGCATGTAGGAGGCAGCAGATCAGTGATTTTTCTCTCCCTCTCTTTTCCTGTCTGAAATCAATAATAATAATAATAAAAATAAGTTAACCAGTTTATTAAGAGTTATACTTCTGCCCTGGCCGGTTTCACTCAGTGGATGGAGCATTGGCCTTCAGATAGAAGGGTCCCAAATTCGATTCTGGTCAGGGGCATGTATCTTGGTTGCAGGCACATACCCAGTGGGGAGTGTGCAGGAGGCAGCTGATTGATGTTTCTCTCTCATCGATGTTTCTAACACTCTTTCCCTCTCCTTTTCTCTCTGTAAAAAAAGTCAATAACAAAAATATTTTTTAAAAAAGTTATACTTCTACACTGTTAATATGTTTACATTTATTTTTAATCTTTTGCAGATCTACTTCTCTTAATTTTGACATTCTATTCGTCACTTACTTTGAATTACTAATTTCTGTATCATTTAAGATGAATAAGTTAACAGAGTTAATTAAAACTAAAGCAATGTGGCACCTTAACCCTATGAACAATGGTGTATTCATGGTAATTGTTTCTAACTAGTATCTTATTAAACCCATTAGCAGTTTAATAATAGTGAAAGTTGACTGTTAAACCAAAATTTCACTCTTTAAAAGATAAATGAAACTGGGAGTTTATATTTTTAATGAAATGATAGCCTACTTTACAGTTAAACATTAATTAATTTAATAGTAAAATTCAGATTCAGTAGATATTTATTGGGTAGTTAGTCAAGTCCAAACCTTGCCAGGTGTTGGGGAAATCAAGCTGAGTAAGATAAAATATTTATTCTCCATATGCCAGAGTCTAATAGAGCAGATAGACCCAGAAAAGGAGTTATTACATATGCATGAGAGTTTATACTGGATGTTCCAGGGTCATAAATATATGTGAACCTATAAGTTTGTTTATTAACTCAAGATATTTTAAAATTAAGCCTTTGCTTGCTTTTGAGATCACTCCTAAAGCAATGCTGTGGATCCCCTAATTTATGTCCTCTATGACTTAGAACATGTGTACTTATAATTCAAATCTTTATAACAATAGATTTATTTTTTTTTTAAAAATCCTATCAGTATTTGCCTCATGTATTTTTATGCTCTGTTAGGTTTGTACACTTTTAGAATATGTCTTTCTGTGGAATTAATTCCCTTATTGTTATATAAAGTCCCTCTTTTTTCCCCTCTCTGAAATCTACTTTGTCTTATACTGAGATAGCTTCTCCAGCTTTCTTTTGATTAGGATTAACATGGGGTGTCTTTCTCCATCTGTTTACTTTTTAATTTATATGATTCCTTGTTTAAGATGGGTTTCTTGTAGAGCATATAATTGCATCTTGTTTTTTTTTTTAATCCAACCTCAAAGTCTCTGCCTTCTAATGCATTTATTTAGACTATTCATATTTGAAAGTTTACTTAGATTAAGTTGTACAGTCTTTGTGTTGTCACTTCCTTTCATTTGTTCTTTCTCTCCCTTCCTTTTTCTACCTTCTCTACTTTTAATTGAACATTTTATGAATCCATTTTATATCCTCTTTTTATGTACTACTTTTACTTGTTTTTTTAAATTATTTAATGGTTGCCTAAGGTTTACAATATCCATTTTGAAATAATCTAAATCTACCTTCAAATAATACAATAAGGTGTTAAGTGTAATGCTATCCCATAATAGAGAATTCCTAATTCCTTTTTTCCATCTCTTGTGACATTTCTGTAACTAATTTTGTTGATTATATGCTATAAAATTTTAGATCAATTAAGAAAAAAAAGTAAAAAAAAATATTATATTTTACCTTCATTGATTCCTTCTGTGCTGTTCCTCTTTTTTTCTTTATGCAGATTTAGTTTTTTACCTATATCAGTATCTTAATCTCTGAAAAATGTCATTTATTATTTCTTAAAAGGCAAGACTTCTGGTGATGAATTCCCTTCAGTTTTTGTTTGTCTGAGAAATACTTTGTTTCTCCTTTGTGTTTAGAGAATAATTTCACTGGATATACAGTTATCTGTTAGCTCTTTTTCTCTATCAACACTGAAGATTTCACTCCACTCTCTTCTTGTATGGTTTCTGATGAAAATAGGTCTTCTTGGTAAGGTGTTTTTGTCCTATGGCTTCCTTTAATATCTTAGTTTTCTGCCATTTAAATATGAATATGTTTAGGTATAGATTTTTCTTTGATTTGTCTCTTGCTTGGTGTGTTCTATGATTCCTGGATTAGTGTCTGTCATTAATTTTAGAAAGTTCTCAGATATTACTAGTTCAACTATTCCTTCTGTCCCATTCTCTCCTTCTTCAGGTATTATAGTTTTGATATTGTCCGATAGTTCAGGGTTGGTCTGTTTTGTTTGTCTTGGAATTTTTTTCTCTTTGTATTTTCTTTTTGTTTTCAACTTTTCCCACTAGAGTCCTTAACATATTAATAATAGTTATTTGCATTTTTTGTTTGATAACTAACATCTCTATCACATCTAATCTTGGTTTGGATGCTTGTTTTTGCTCTCTATTTCTTTCCTTTTGGCATGCTTTGTAATTTTTTGTTGAAATCCAGACACGTTGCATCAGGTAACAAGAACTGAAATATATTTGCCTTTAGTGGGAGGATATTTGTTGATGTGACTGGAAGTTGGGTAGTGCTTACTGTTTGTTGTAGCCATAGATACAAGAAGTCTCAAGTTCTCCTCATATCTTTGTCTTTGTCTTTCTCTTGGCTTGGGTTTCCTTAAGTATTCCTTCTCAGAGAGGCCAGTGTCTTGCATCTTTTAGCTGTGACTGACTGTTTTTGCCCTAGAGCTGTGTTGGTGTTGTGGCAGGGTGTTGGGGACAGAGCGTATTCTATTACCCGCATAAACCTCACTCTTTCAGTGGGCCTGCATCTTGGGTTCTAACCTTCGTAAGGGTTTCTGTCTCTTGTCTAAGAGTATTGCTTCCCTTTCACCCATGTTCTGGATTCCCTTCCCTGATTACAGCATCTCCAGTCTATTTTCTTGAGGTCTTTCCTCCTGTTCGCTCTGGATTTTGTTTTGTTTGTTTGTACTTTCCAATGGGAGTCATAGAAAGGCTGCAAAGGACCACAGAGGCAGCCTTATCTTCCTTCAGCTGAGACAGCTTGTCAGTGCTTTTTCTGGCAAAGTCTGTACCTCTTTGTTAAGGAAAAGAACCCAGGGTGTTTAATAATAGCTGTTCTTCCCCTCTTTCTGCCTGATCCACATGGGGGCTTTTCTTGAATCCTTACCATGAGAATTTTATGAAGTTACTGTTCTCTAATAACACTGATAATGCATGTGTTATTTTATTTAGTGCTAAATTCTCAATTTCATCATTATTTCACTGGTAATGTGAATGTGTATTCAGTTACTTTATTGGGGTGAGTATAGTTAGTTAATAATTGCTTGAAAATATTAGCTCATTTCTTTTGTCCAGAAGATACACTGTTAATACCAAATGAAAATAACTAGAGAAAATTTCATGATGTGTAAAAATTTGCGAAATTATATCTACTATTTTAGAGAATATGCATGCATATTCTCCAGACTGTTGAAGTTCCAGGGTTTTTATGTTTGAGGTTAAATTTTATATATTCTTGCTTTTGAACATTTGATCTATTATTTAATATAGTTTAGTTCAGTTCACATAGGGTAATTTTATATCTAATTAACTCATTTATCTTTTCCCTACTTTTAAGTATTCAAAAGAAAGTGTGGTTTGGGAAATGCATTTTTAAGACTCAATGAGAATCCATGGCAGAACTGCTATTTCTGAGTTTGGTTTTTATACATAATTTAGAAGGTAGATATAAAGGAGTTCTCTGAAAACTTTTCCTCCAGCAGATGGAATGCTATCTGTTTTATACATAACATCATACAGGCAATGTGCTCTTCTGAATAGAGGGATAACTCCATTTCCTCATGTTCTTTTTGTTGTATGAAATTACAAAATAAGTTTTAGTTGTTGGCTAATTCTCAGTGATCTAGAAAAAGGGAGGACAGGTTTTCTCTTTTGTTTTTGAAGGAGATAACCTCATGGAAGATGGGTCAGCATGGAATTCCTTAGGGCCTAAGGACCTTTTAAATACAGGAATTATTCTTAGTATTTGCATTAAAATTGAGTCTAGTTATATGAGTCACACTATTCGAGATGGATTTTGTTAGGGTAGGGTGTGCTAATAGAGGGCATAT